CATGGGAACCAGGGTAGGGGGCAGAACTGGTAGGGGTTTTGGGGAGTCGCCCCAACTAGGCTGCAGCTCCAACTGGTTTGCATGAAGACCGAGTATGAAGTGGGTAGAATCGAGCTGGACTACAACACCCATTGGTTCACAAGGAAGACAGGGCTGGAAGCCGAATGGACCCAGCAATCGCAACGACCAGCATATGCATAAGCTGATTGGTGTGACGAACAGTGTTGGAGTCTGTACTAGCAAACTCACTCAAGAATCAGATCTGGGATCAACTCAGATGAAGTTTCTTTGGATATTTCTCCAACGGAACTGCTGATCTTGGAACCCCAACCATCAAGAGACTGTCAGCCAGTGGACTCTGAATAGGTTTCATTACGGTTGGGACGGAGAGATTGGCAGCAATCCAGAACTGATGAACTATCGGGACTGTATGAGCAGGACCCTTGGAGCGCCTCCTGTTGGGGATGGGGGATGGGTGGGAGGTAGGGTGGGGCTTTCCCCTTTGTTACTCCCCTAACCCTAGATACAGGGCAAAATGATTATATTAGTGTGGAAACAATGATATTACCCACTTTCACCCTGTAGCCCGTGACCCTTTGTACCCTAATAAACTAAGATTATTAAAAATAAAAAAAAAATTTAATTTAATTTAAAAAAAAAAAAGAAAGAAAGGATGTAATCCCACATCCAGAGTTGACCAGTCTTACCAGTTTGGAGCATTTTCTTTTCTGATCTCTTTCCTATTAATATTTTTTCTGTCCTTCTGATTTGTATGGTGTTGTAAAAACTTTTCTAGGTCAGAACTTTGTTTTTTATAATATTTCATGATTATGTATTTCATCACATCTCAATGAGCTATTCCACTGTTGTTGGCCATTTAAACTGGAGTGCTACAGGCTATAATGTTTATTCTTTAATGTCCATATACTTGAAAGGCAAAGCAACAAAGAGAGAGCTCCCATCCACTAGTTCACTCTGCAAATGCCTGCAGCAGTCAAGGCTGGGCTCATCCTCACTCAGCAGTCAGAAGCTCCACTTGTGGGACAGGGGCCTAAATGCTTGAGCCGTCTTCCTCTGCTGCCTTGACTACATTAGCCAGAAGCTGGATCACAGATAGGATAGCCAGAGCGGGAACCGGCATCTGATAAGGAAGGCAGGCGTCACAGGCTGAGGCTTGACCCACTTCACACAACACTTGCACCGAGAAATCTCATCTTAAGGAAAGCTTTCTGTGCTTATTTCCTTGGAAATATGTGTACACCTGAGTTAACCGGTACCTAAGTGACACGTAAAGGAGTGCTTCTGCCTTTCTTTCAGCAACTTTACACAAAAACTTTAGCCAAGCAAATTAAGGTTAAATAAATAATACTGGAGCCAACATTGCTGAACAGTGGGCTAAGTCATTGCTTGTAATACCAGCATCCCATATTGGAGTGCCGGTTTGATTCTGAACTACTCTGCTTCTGATTCAGCTTCCGGAAGCCAGCTTAGCTTCCTCAGAGCTGGGCAATCTCAGGGAAGTTGTTTGACCTCCCTTTACTTCCACGTCATCATCTGTCAAACAGGGCTGAGCCCAATAACCCCAGTTAGGGGGTGGTTGGGAAGTTTAAGTCAGTGTCCACAGCTGGGAAGTTGGTGGTCCGTGTTTGCTGTCGATCCTGCGTGCAGACTGATTGGCATTAGTTGCACCTTTGTTCTTTGCCTGAACCATGCTTGGCCTTGTGAAAGTAACCCACAGGGAATACACTTGCTCTCAGCGCTCCAGGAAGCAGGGAGCCACCCCTCCCCTCAGCAGTTAGGACGAAGCAGTGGCCAAGTCACAGCCACACTGCTTGGCCGCCCCATTCCAGAATCCCACCACCCCATCACCACAGTGACACCCCATATCTTATCATTTGCCTGGTTGCCTTTAACATGTTCATCCTTACTGTCCCACCCCATTGTCCCTGTCCCAGTCCCTAGCTAACTCCTTCCAGCCAAGAAGGGGGATTCTGGGCTGGGGGCTGACAAGGTTGGCTGGGCCCGATGCTCAGGGACTGGGCTCCCTCTGTGGCCTGTCCATGCCCTCCACGCCTGCCCTCCTGGAAGCAGAAGGCAGTGCATGTTCACCAGGTGCAGGTAGGGCCCCGTAGGACTGCAGACTCACTCACCTTTTCTGGGTGAGATTATTTAGTATATGAAAAGGATTTTTCCCATTAGGAAAGCTTCCCCTACAGGTTCCTTTAAATAGTGACTCCTCTAGGCAGGCAAGTGTTTTACAGATCATTAACTACTTGACTGAAAGCCTACGGGGCAGAGAAACTTAAACCTGAAGTGTTGGGAGCCCCTGCCAATTACAGATCAATCCAGAATGAAGATAAAGGATCTTTGGGACTAGAAGTCGGTAGGAAAATGCAATTCAAGTCAGAAAAAATCTGATTTACACACAACTTTTTGGAACACACCAATTGTTTAAATGGAGTTCCACCTGTCTGCCCATCTTGAGCCTATTGCTTGCATCTCCCACATCTTCATCCCAAGCCACAGTCTTGGGGTTCCCCTCTGTGAACAGTGCCTGTACGATCACCCCAGGAAAGGGCGTCATTGGGAAAGTGGCTGCGCAGAGAGCAGGCAGCTGATGCTGAGATACGGCCGTAATGGATGAACTGTACCGTAACAATTTGCAGATAAAAATAATAGAAGTTAAAGTGTACTTTACATGATAAAAGAAAGATGAAAGAGGACGAGAGTCTGTTACGTCTGAGATGGTTACAAAAGTCCTGCTTTGTGAAGTAGGCTCTGTTGAAAAGATTGATGCAACGGGGAGTGACCTTGGCTTGGAGCAGGAGCTGGTGATGTATGTATGAGCATCCCTCTGCTAAATGGACCCAGATTTGTAGCACTAATATACATGGGAGCCCGGAACCAAACTCAGCACGGCAATAAATCAGCAGCCACTTTGGGTGTCATTTCTGGTTTATATTCCACTATTGTTCTATCACTTTAATTCATGTCACTATCATCTTTTCATCTGGAACAGTTTTATATAATTTTCCAGTGGAGTTACCTGACAAATCCTATCAAATTAACAAGGTACATTAGCGGTATTGACTGACTACAGCTTCAGGAGTCACAGGGCCATAGAACAAAATTTTAAAACCATGTCTCTCTGGTGATTTTTTTTTCCCTCTCCTGAGAAAGGAATGTGGAGCAGGGTTTATTTCCACATGAGAAATATGCACATTTATTTTGCCCTGTTCATTGTGACTTTTATAAATGTCAGAATAAGGAGAAGAGTGTGTATGCGTTTGCTCACACCCGTGCACACATACTCCAACAGCCGTGACTTCAGTACTCTCAGGCAGCCATAGAAGTGGCCAGATCTTTAACAATTAAAGACCAAATTGGAGGCAGGAGTGTAACTGGGTGGCCGTAATCTGTCTGAAGTGAAATGTAGTAAAATCGATCTGCAGCTGCATTCCTGCCCTCTGAGATCGCCTGCACCCGGCTGTGTAGGATCATTCCGACGCAGGTCGTGGTGCCTAATTGAAATACGAGGTCCTGAACATCTGACGACAAAACCCAGTGTCTGATTAATTAAAATATCCCAATCGTTCATCCCGACCAGAGCCCACGCTGGAACAGCCAGGGTCAAGCAGCCAGCCCTGCTCTCTGGCCTGGAGACAGCGGAGGACTGGCCACTGTAGTCCGCCTTTGTCTGACTGGCGTGGCGGGCTCACCTCCTCAGGAAGTCAGTGTGGGGCTGTGGCACACCTACTCCTTCGGAGTTTGTTTGTATTTGCTTTTTGTTGTAAATTTGCAGTCAGACTATGATTTATGTGTGTGGGGGTTGGGGTTTGGGGGAGTACTGTTTACTTGAGCTGTTGCCTTTATTTTCTGCTACTTTTGGTTTGTTAAATTTTCTTAGAATTTGTCCAGAAATTTCTAATATGACCCGTAGGCTAAGTTACGTTAACTTTGGTTGTCTGTTCTGTTGCTGAATATGCATTTGATTATCTTAATTACTTCCGGTATCGCCCCCTCACCCCCGCTGCCTTTGATCCTGTCCTTTAAACTCTGGGCTAAAAATTGATCGCCCAAGATTGTACAGGGGGCCTTCTCTAGAAGGCGTGTTAGAAGTTTTGGTCTCACTTCGTGAGCACATTCCCGTGGGTTGAGCCTGAGCGTGGGGTCTGGTGAAGCGTGTGCACCCCTGCTGTGCTGGGAGAGCAGCTCTGTGCACGGCCACGCTCACTCAGGACACCTGCTGCATGTGGTGTCACCTTTGTTCTCAGCCACTGCACAGCCCATCGCAACTCTCGCAGCTGTGGACCTGCCCATTTCACGCTGCGAGTCCCTGGTGTAAAGCCCTGTTGCCTGACGCCTGCAGCCCAGGGCTCAGTCTCCCCAGCACACAAACATGACCTCCCAGCCTGCAGCCAGGCCAAAACTTAAACTTGAAAGGTTGTGTGTAAAGAACCCTCTGAACCTCCCATGACTTCCTTTAAATATAGCCTGGGTAATTATTTACTGTCAGGGAAGGGAGGACATAGCCCTTTTTTTTCCCTCCTGTGTAAGGTTTTTCTAGATTAGAATCACTGGGGCTTGCCTCGCTGTGTGGGCACAGAAGAGAGAGCAGCTGCTCTGTAGACTGGAGCCTCCCTCCTGAGGAAGGGCACGGTGGGCCAAGCTCTTCTGGAATGACCTCACATTGTAGTTGATTTCATGACCAAATGGCAGTAAAAACAGCATGTGGATAGGCACAGTGTTGTGACTGTTCCAACTAAGAAAATGGGTTTTTCATTCTGTCTCCATAGCATTGAGAGTCGTACCTCTCCCCTTGCAACTCACCACCCCCCAGCACCAGAAAGTGCCCCTGCAGCTGGCCGTTTGGAGTCTGTGTGTCTGTCTGTGGGAGCTCTAGGAGCTGCAGCTATCCAGTGCGGGTCCAGTGATGGCCCTGACATCACGTACACTCCCTCCCCTCATGGCTGCTTTTCTGTCCTCTCCCCGGTTCCCAGGGATCTCCGGAGACAAAGTGGAGATCGACCCCGTTACGAATCAGAAGGCCAGCACTAAGTTTTGGATTAAGCAGAAGCCCATCTCGATCGATTCTGACCTGCTCTGTGCCTGTGACCTTGCGGAAGAGAAAAGCCCCAGTGAGTAGTCCCTTTATTTATGTCTCCTTCCTCTCTTCCCCTCCGTGTGCTGGTGCCAGGAGAATATATTGCCACCATGTCCTTTTTTTCCTTGGGTCTCTTTAATTCATTACCAGAAATTTCTTTTAATCAACCGGTATTGTGTGGTGGTGCCCAGAGCCTGACATGTGCCTTCTCCCTCATCGGTCCTCACAGCTCAGTGCCTGACCTCAGCGGGGACACCCCAACCCGGGGACTGAAGGCATCAGGGCAGTTTGTGACCTCAGCGGGGGACCCTCGCCTGGGGGCTGGGGGCACCAGGGCAGTTTCTGACCTCAGCAGGGACCCCCTACCTGGGGACTGGGGGCTGGGGGCACCAGGGCAGTTCCTGCCACCCTTGCCCTCCCATGGCAGGGTGCACTTGTCCAGTCAGACCTGGACCTGCCTCCATGCCAGATGGAGGCAGAGGGGGGCTTTCCCGTGGTGCCCAAGGCTGGGTTTAGATATTCGTCACGAAGGAGGCATCGGCACCCCCACGTTATTGGCAGCTGCATGACCTCCCAGCTCATAATTAAACTCCTGCCTGGTCCTGCAGCAGAGATCACAGCTGGGCTGGCATTCCTCTGCTTAAATTATCAAAGTAAATACAGGCATATTATATTTTTGCAGTTAAGTAATTGAGTATAGCATCTAGATGAAATCACTTAATCATTTTTGGGACCCCAGTCTTATCAAGGAGCAGAAAGGACACGTTGATCACATGGAAGTCCCTCTGCAGAGGAAACAGCTTCAGGCCGAGGGAGGTGCCGGGCAGCCTGGGGAAGGCTGGCCCCTGCCTGCCTGTGGGGGTGCACTTGCCCACGCCCGCCCCTGGAGGCCTGGAAGGGTGCCGGGCGGCTGGGGAAGGGTGGCCTCTGCCTGCCTGTGGGGGTGCACTTGCCCACGCCCGCCCCTGGAGGCCTGGAAGGGTGCCGGGCGGCTGGGGAAGGGTGGCCTCTGCCTGCCTGTGGGGGTGTGCTTGCCCATGCCCGCCCCGGGAGGCCTGGAAGCAGAGATCTTCAGTGAGGATCTAGTAGCTAGCTGTTAACCCTCTGTATTCCAGGGTCCACTAAATTTGAGAACAAGTATATTATGAGGAGTTACACCCTTAAGTAGAATAACAAGAAATGTGAGGACCACAGGTGAAATAACACTAACTACACAGCACCCCACTCCCAGAGCACTGAGCCCCTTGCAGGTTTACAGACTACATGCCTCAGGCACCTGTCTCTGGCAGGTGTCTGATTTCCTTGTCAGATCTATGCTAGGTTACAAATTGTTCTTTCAACTCATTAGCCTACGCTGTGGCCAGGGAAAGGGAGTGTTCCCAGTGTGGCCCCCAACTACAGGCTGGCAGTGAAAACAATCGCCTCTGCTCTGTGAGCCTTAGCCTGTCACTGCTGGCTTCCCTTCCTAACCCCACTCACTCCAGCTTATCAGCCAGTAAGGACGCCACTTTCCTGGCATCCTCCATTGCAAGAACTGAGGCCGCTTTGAAAAGTCCATTGATCCACAACTCTGAGAAAAGAAGGGCCCAGGGGCCTGAGCTGTAAAGGTCAGGCTAGGACTCACCCCGGAACTCCAGCTGGGCCATGGGAAGCTGCCTCTGCAGCTGGGAGAGTTCCAAGGGGCAGCCTCCAGCCCTGCAAGGGAGAAGGGGCAGTTCTTAGCCGGGTCCCCAGTGCATTGGAGGAGCAGAGAGACTCATCTACAGTAATGACAGTCTAGCCAGTGTCTTCCATTTGATTATCTGATGTTCCAGATAGTTCTTTGTGAAAACTGCACATGTGGGTCTTACAGATTGCCTGCTGTCACTGTGGCTTTGGGATTGAGACATTGTGTCTCTTTTCTAAGCAGGCTCACTGTTCCCTTTAGAGCACCTCCTGACCCCATTCCCTACAGCCTCACTTCCCAGGCAGGTTCTTGGAGTGCAGTGGTGTCAGGACCTCGGCGGCCGTGGGTGGGTAGGTGACAGGACTGAGCCCGTGCCTTTCCTTCAACCATAGGACACTCTTTTTCCAGTTTAGAGATACCTTATTTTAGAAATCTGATAAAAAGGTTTTTCCCCTTACAAGAGGAAAAGTTCTGAGTTACAGGCTTACAGAATCAGTCACAAACAGCGACAGCCAGCTGACTTTCTGGTGTTATAGCCCAGGCTGTCCCGTCTGGAGGCTGGGCTGTGGTCGCTGGGAACCGTGCACACTCGCTCACACTGCTCGCATGCACCTGGTCCCCAAGCTCCCCAACCCCAGCGCAGTTGTGGGTCAGCTGAGAAGCATATCATGTACAGGGCTGTAGGAGGGTACTGCAGGAAACACATGGAAAATGGATTGTAAAATTACTTTGTTTTAGTGCAAAAAATCCTTTTAAATTCACACATAGTTATCTCAAAATTCACATTTCCATGGACTTTTTGAAAACCTTCATTGGGGGTGTGTCCTGCTGTCCCACCGATCTTGGGGCTCAGGCCCTGGGCCAGTGCCTGCCAAGCTGTGCCCAGTGAGTGTTGGCTTGTAGTGGAACATGAACACAGCCAGCATTTAGAAACCAAAAGTTGCTCAACATCATTGACGTTGCAGAGTGCCCAAACAAAAACGTTCTTCCTGAATTGGATTGATGCTTTGTGCTCATGATTTCTCGCACTTCATCAAATTAATTCAGTGACTTAATCTTCAAAAGCTCATCCTCAAACTATTATCCAACCACAGAATTAATCAATGGGGTGGTGGCTTTTTCCTTCTATCTTGCGGGGTGTGTGTGTGTGTGTGTGTGTGTTTAAAGGATTAATGGTAACCCTTTTTATCTTTTGTGTCTGTTGGACCTTAGAAAAAGTTATTTTAATAGCACTATAGAAATAGAAGTCACTATATTTCATAAGTTTAGCTTGTGATTTTTATCAGCATAGTGATGTATGTTTGTAGCTGAGTTTACATCAAAAATTATTCTTGGGGCCTCCTTGAATGAATTATGGCAGAGAGAAAGTCTAGAAGTAGATAAGGTTTTTGATTTCTGCAATATATTTCCTTTTTCATGTTTTTATCTCTCGTAACACAAGTGTCTTGCTGAAGACTGGAACGTGTGGCCAACTGGAAGGCTTTAGCTGTGAAAACAGAGCGGACGTGTTATTAAACAGCCTGCTCTACAAAAGGCACCAAGTGTTGGGGAGGGTAATGGAGCTGTCCCCGTCTGACTTGAGACGTGTTTGTCAGAATTTTTAACAGAAAAGAAATGGTTTGTAAACCCTTCGAATATGGCCAGTTTGCAGTGTTTATTGAGAGCCGCTGTCAAACCATTAATTTGGTCGTCATAAGGCACACAGCTCAAGTTTAATTGATGCCATATCCCAGAAGTGTGTGAATAGCTGGCTTGGCAGAGGGACTGAGCACCAGGACGGCTGCGGGCAAACACATAATTACGATATTGTGTGCGCAGGAAGGCCTGGCCTCTGCAGGGCTCTTCACAGAGCGTGCTCGCCTCTACCCTCCACTTCCTCTCACTCTGCTCGCAGAGGGAAGATTTATTGCTCTGTCCCTGTGAGTGTTTAAGGACCTGGAACTTAATGACTAAATAGATACATGCCTTGAAAAAATTACATACAAATATGGACTCTTATAAGAGTTCCTTAAGAAAATGTGTGTGTCAAAAGTCCTGAGAAATTAGAAATAATTTCTACCTTTCTAGATTTAAAAAAAAGAAAAAAACCTGTAAACAACCACTACTGGTTTGACCAGCAACTTCACAAGCTGGTTTGCCTGTCCTTAGGGTACCTTTTGCTTTTTTGAAAGGTGTCTCCAAACTCTAAAAGAAGAATTCGTGTTCATTTTCACTGATCAAGCATGTTTCAGCACATAGGAGAGGAACCTACTTGCACTTCAGAGATTCCCCTGGTTAGACTGCCTTAGGAAGGGAGCTGTCGACCCTCTCGCACAGCCAGGGCCAGGCTTGGAATGCCAGGGACTCTGTTGGTAAGTGCTGGTCTCAGATTCCAGCCCGGAAGCAGAAACGGGGCACTGGCTGTGTGTGCCCGCCCCGCGGGGCCATGTGACCCTCCTGGGTCGGCTTTCTCTAGGACCAGGTTGTGCAGGTTTGAGCCTTCAAAGGAAGCAGCCTGTCATGGAGAAATCAGATTTAAACCTTAATAAAGTAGCTGTCGTCTTTATAGCTGAAAAGAGCTCTGTGTCTCAATTAGGTATAGATAATAGAAAATCTTAAGGAAGCAACATCATAGGGGTAACCTGATTATGTCCTCTTGCAATAGTGTAATTTAAAGGAAGTCAGATTCCGTTGATGCTTGTTATGTTGGTGGGGGAGGTTTGATTTTGTTTTCTCTGGTTTGGTCCAAACACCATTTGGATGCCAGGTAGGAACTCCTTGGGATTATGGGTTAGCCACACTGCAGGAGCCTGTGCAACCCTGGCAGATAGAGCCTGCTGGCTGTTTGAGAGGAGAGTTAGTGAAGATATGACTTAAATTAGCTAGGGTTATTAGTGGCCTCCCACTTAAATGATTCTTTCTTTTCATAAGTACTTGACAAGATTTGTAAAGTAGTGTATTTAATTTACTAATTAAATTAAAGCTACTGAATGATGATTTGTCCACATTGATTTAGCTTAAATAGAAAAGACCAGCATTGTTGTGATCTTCAGCAAGCGTCATGGCCAGGCCAGTTAGACACAAAGGCCCCTGTGTTTTATAGGTCAGGAGAACACAGGTAAGCCCGGGCTGTAATTGAATTGCCTGCACTGCACCCTGCAGTTGCACATTTCCTCTGCCTCCCCGGCCATTGTTGCACTGGGGCTTAAGAGAATGTTAACGCGGTAATAGGCACAGGGCCTTCCCCATTATACGTCTTGCTATCGAGCGGTTCTGCATGACTAGTTAAAGAAGATGGCAAGAAGATTAATGAAAGCAAGGCTAATACAGAAGGGGGTACTTTTGCAGGACTTCTACGGAGGAGATATTAGAGCTGAACCAGAGCTTGG